TTCTTTACTCCGCCTACTACTTGTAAGTCGTCCATCGTGATTTGATTTACCTCCTCGTAATCAAGCAAGCTTTTACAAAAGTTTCACAATCTCCTTTTGTGCACGAACTCAAGAAGCCCAAAAAATCTATCCCCAACCGCCTAGCTCTGATACCAAATTGTTGAGTTTAGAGACCAAATGAAAATGATTTTATTAACAAAAATATTTTTACAAACCAAACAAATCACACACCTCGCAATAATATTAAATGCAGCACCAAGATTTGTTCCCACTCTTTCTCTCACTATCTCTCACATGTATATGTTGTGCCTCTCACTCATTCACACTCTATTTTTCACACCTCTCTTCACACGGCAAACACACACACATATATATATATAGGCAAAAGGGTCAGTGGTTGAAGCTTCTTCTATGGCGGTGACTTACATAGTTCTATAACGTCGGTGGATATGGCCTTCATTATTCTAGATAATTTTTTCAATAAAATCAGCACTACTCCTTCCAGATTTTTCTAGCTATGGCAATGGAGTTCACAATTTTTATAGCGAGAAAATTCTGATGACTTCCGAAAAAGTCGGTGCTACATCTTCAGTATAGACTCTTAAATGTGTTTCAGAATTTTAGCAGGTTTTTTACTCTACACAGTTTTTATCTTAAAGGATAAAGTTTCTGGATAATATTATTATCCCAAAGAAACACATTTTTCTAGGTAACCCCCCCCCCCAACCAACCAAACCCCCAACCTCGTTTTTCTCTCTGAGAGCCAATTTTTATATTGATGCCTAATTTGCAATTTCAATAAATTTATCTTTGCAACCCTATATATTCCAACATATCGCCAAATTTTCTCCTTAAGCCCCTGAGTCCCAGCACCACCTTCTCAACCTTCTTTAATACTTTCTAGAGGAACCCAACAACATAGTTGTTATGGGTTGTCTGTATCTGACCCTCTACCTCGACGCCACGTATCAGCAGAAGCGGTCCCACCGTGACACGCATCAGCCGAGGTGATTACCCCATGGGATGATATGAGTGCACTCATCGAAGTGATTACGTGAAGGACGAACTGGATAGGCGCCAACGAACGAACCGAACTGATCCGCCGACACATCGCGGAAGCAAAGGCCCGCACTCCGCCTCTATAACGCTGCAATGCCTCACCTGCCTCACTTCACATCATCAAAGATCTCTTGTACAAAGATCTTTCCAAAATCAAATCACTGACTGATGGGACGCGTAGCAGGACCTAAACTATCAAATCAACTATTTTTGTCAGAAACATTCAATGCCAGCCAACCTATGGAGGGACGGATTGATACCTAGGATGGGACGAGCCCTGGGAATCTGATGACACGTGTCTCTTCATCCAACGGCTCTCCTCTTCCCATCTTTAGTATAAATATCCTCTCCTTGTGCCTGAAGAAGAGGTAAAATCCACACATTCAAAACGACCACCACGTTACGAAACTTAAATATTATCTTCTTCCCCATATTGTTAGCACCTTGACTATCATACATTCAACCACTTCCCGGCGAGTGTTCTACCGCTGGCAAACTCCTTTTGGTTGAACTTCAAACTGACTTGACCGTCGGAGTGCTTGTGGCCCCTCTCAACCCCTCCGGGAAAGGCCACAAGTGACTGACGAAGTGCTACGTGTGCAGGGAGGAGCTGACTTGAAGATATCTTCTGTTGGCTACGTATCGGAACCCTTTTTCGAGGTCAACAATAGTGATGGTGAAGGTTGAATGGGGTACGGTGGTGGTTAAGGTAGGCATAGATGTTGGTAAGGAATTTGGCTGGACAACAAAAGGTGGTGGTGGGATTGAGAGCGTAGGAAGATGGCACTAGGGAGGTTGTCATGGAGAAGGTCATGGTGGATACGTATGAAAGAAGGGGTTAGACTCAATGGTAAAATTGACATTCTCCTGAAAGATAAAACTGAATATTACAAAATTGTATTTAGGGAAGTGAAGAGAACATGGGGTGTATTTAAAAGCTCATAAAACATGTATACTCCTAGTAATTGTTGTGTGAAAAGGACTGTGAATAGTTATATTAATTTCAACTAGCCACTTTACTCTCTTTGGGTGATAAGCTGACTAGCATTGTACTGGGCAACCACAGCTTCCAAAGTTTCATGAATAATTGAAGGCAGAACCCTCTCATTGTAGTTTTCACCTAGAGTTCGATAAACTGTGGGTAACTGATCAGACACTGGACAATTGAGAACCCAAAGACAAATTTTTACCTGAAGATCAAATAGAAAACCAAGTAATGACAATGAGAATGATCAAAGATTTTTATGTTTTTTGAAGGTAAAGAAAGTAATTTTTTTACTCTAAGCTAATTTCACAAATTAAAATAATATTTTTTTTCTTCAGAGATCAAAACATAACCATAGTAATCAACAGATTTTTAACAAAATATTTGAAGGAATCAAGAACATAGAGGTCATTGCATTCAGCACAACGCATCATAGGAAGGAGAATATTGCATATGGTATTAAAATTTGAGCAAAAAAATGAACCAAAAAATCCTGCTGCTATGTTCACACAAACATGTCTGCAGACAAGTGTGCTGTACCTTCTAGTGCATTACCACATTAACATCCAATGACCGAGCTAATGATACCCCTTTGCCCACTCCCGCAGAGAAAAAAGACAAGGAAATAAGAAAGTGGAAGTATAAAATTATAAATCCTTAGACAACATTATTCTATTCAGTTGCAGATTTTATTGTTGCCTTCAAACACACCCCACCCAAATGCACATCATTGATCAGGGTTCGAGCCTCAACATTTACAACTTGTACCTCTCAGAATGGAGGTCCCCAAGCCCCTAGAAGCAAACTATTGAAAACCGAAGGGAAGAGAGAAGGGAGGATGGCTAGAGAGAGGGGCTTACCATCTGAAGGTCACGACTGCCTGACGTGCTCTCTACTACTTGAGGTCGTGCACAAACATCATAAATAACTGGTCTTTCGAACCATGGGACCATACAGTGCGTCCCTTCAGGATATACCTATACATTCAACATGTAAGCAAAATGTTCAACAAATTGTGTAGTATAGATGGAAAATAAAAACATGTACGAAACCTCTGTAATTACGATAAAAGTGAACCACAGAAACTACAATATGTTACATGCAATTGATAGAAGATTAATAATGCAGAGAGAGACCTAAAAATGAATTATAAGTGAATAGTAAAAGGATTCAAATGATTTTTTTTTGGAAAAATGAATATAACAAGAAGTTGGATACGATTGAGGAATAATTTGCAGGGTAAAGGCTCTTTCGCAAATATACACACACTCAATATTTTTTCTTCTACCACTTCAGCTATTCCACGAAACAAGTAGACCCATAAACACCAAAGTAATTCAAATAAATCAGAACTTGTCTACGTGCATGATTAAATGCACAAATATTTGAACTTCAAATAACAAGTCAAATAAACTGCTTTGTCAGAAAAATGTAAAACACCATACATTTGCACTAAAATCTTTTACTTTTCCAGTAATGTGAAACTTGAGACACAAAATTGCACAAAATTAGCTATCCGCTAGAAAACCAACCCCTACCCTCCATAGCCGTAGCAGAGGAAAAAGTATTTAATTGAAAATATAAAAGAAAAAAGATGAATAATACAGACAAATCGAACATTAATCACTGAAGAGCACTAAATTGCTTTTGCTAATTCATTATTCAATACACGAAAAAGGGTCGTGGTGCTAAAAGAGAAATTGACATAATGCACTATACAAGTGGACTGAAGCTTGTGAGCGAGGCAAGTCGGTACAAGCTAACTGGTGGAGCTCGACTAGTCCTAGGAGCTCTCATGATGAAAAGTCTTAATGGGTCCTAACAATATGGATTCCGAAAGTTGAATGGCGAAAAATCTTCTTATGCTCATAGGGCAATTTTAACCAATTTGGAAAGTGATTAGGCCATTGTTTGATCTTCATTATTTTTAGAATACATTTTTCTCCCTCTTTTTTTAATGTCACATTTTTCAATAAAATAATATTACACGTAAATTAAAAAAATTTATTTTTTAATCACACATTTTTCATTAATCTACTATTTTAAAATGCACGAGCTCAAACGTGCTCTAAGTGGAGAGATAATTAAATTTATGGTGAAATCACGTCATTATCGGTCTCCAACGAGCAATGCCCCCCACCTAAGCCCAGAATAATGGCGTGCAGTAAATATTTCAAACATCTCAAAAAAGTCAAAACTTCACAACCGCCCAGAAAAAAGAAAAAACTCTCCTCAGCGGTGGCTCTCTGCGGCGTTATTGGTAGCTGTTACGGCGGTGGAACAGGTGGATGGCAAGAAGCAATAAATACACCTCCCTCAACTTCAATGACATATACGATAAAAAGCTGAATAATAACAATAATCAAACGAGAAAAAACAATTCTTCAGCTAAATCGTTCTCTTCTTCGGGTGCTTCTTTTGCGAATCCAAGCAAAACCATTATATCAAACTCGCGAATCCATGGGCATATGCTTGTTTTGAGCCGGCCGACTCCGAAGCCCATTTCGATTCCTGTGAAGCAATCGATCGAGCAGCAAGAAAACAAGGAAAAAGGTGCTGTTGTTTTTTCTGTGACGCCACCGGATCAATCAAGGTCGGATCTTGAACCGGATTTAATATCGCTTCGTCCACAGGGACGAACTGGGTCAGCTCCGGCGATTTCTTCGTCTCCTTTGCCGTCTCCGGTGTCTCCGTTGATTTCTCCGGTGAAGACTAACCGTTTCGTGCCGCCGCACCTTAGGCCGGGTTTTGTGGGCAAGCAGGAGAAGCCTGGGCCGGAAGTTGTGAAGGGTGGACAAACTGGAGGTTCTAAGGGTAGACAGGATTTTGGCGGACATCGTCCTTCTCCGGTTCAGGATCCGGGGCACTACGGATCATCTGCTAACCGTTTCGGGGAAGACGGGAGGCCGAAATCTGGAGGTGGGTATGAGCGGATGAGGAGAGTTGGTGAACCAGCAGATCTGAACAGGCCCGGTTCAAGTGGGAACCGGCCCAGTTCCAGTGGATGATGGTATTAATTCCTTTGCTCATTTTATTAGATATATTGTTTTATTTTGATATAACATTCTTGATTTTATCACGTGAAATTTGTGGTGGCATCTCAGATTGGATTGTAGAAATTTGATATTAAATGATTTTTTACTTTCCTGAATCTTTTATATCTTCTTCGTGGATTTCTGAGCTTGAATATGTGAAAAACCGATGCATCTATGTGGCTGTTTCTTTATTTGCCTCCTTTGGTGTTAAGGAAAGGTTTGAGCAGTCCACTGTAGACCAGCAAAGAACTTGCTGGTAAAGGATAGGATGTCTTGTTTCCTATGGAAATCGACACAGTATGTGTGTATAAAAGCAATGCAGATTTGTTCTCAACTTATTTGCATTTGGTTTCTCACTGAGTTCCCAGAGTCATTTGTTGATAGGTAAGATATTTAATCTACTTCTCTATATGTAGTTTTGGGATTTTTGGTTGGTGCTGGGGATTGTTTATAGAAGAAACTAAAGGGTCAATAATAAACTCAGTGGTGTTCAGTTGCTTGTTTGACAAATCGAATCCATTGAACTGGAAATTAATTGTGTTTTTGATAGTTTTCGGTAATGATTATGAGCAAAGCTATAGGTGCTTGGGCTGAACATAACTCCCGAGCCGGACCCGAATAAGTTTACAACCGAGAACCAAAGAACTAAATAAGAACCGAATCTTCCTAATTTTTATTTATCTTAAATAAGTCAAATTATTTTATTTGTTCTAAATAAATTTGCTAACTAATTCATGGCGGACCCAAGGGGGGTCCCGGGGGCAGGTGCCTCCCAACTTTTGAGATTCATTTTTTTTTTTTAAATCACGTTTGTTATCGATTGAAATTTTAATTTTAATCTAAATCAAAGTTTACAATTAATTTTAATAACATATTTTCATGAAATTCATAACTATTTAATTTGTACCCAAATTTACTAAAAATTTGATTTTAATCTCCATCAAACAGGAGTAAAATAAAAATAAATTTGAATTTCGAAATATACAAATTTTAAAAATTCTCNATTTGTATCATTTCGAAACTTATTTCAAGAATTACATTATGGACATATCGAATAATTCAAACATATATCGAAAACAGTTAAAAATACGTTAAACGTGAACCTTTAAAAAGACGTCTAACTCCCATTTTTTTAAACAAAAAAATCAATTATTTCATTAACATTTATTATTTTTGCGATGCAAATTTCTCAATATAATTTTCATCATTTTATTAGTAAATTTTCAAAAAATTTCGAAATTTTACATCCGAAAAATTCATCTCATGCAAATTTTTAGATGTAAAATTACATGGAGTATGATTTTTTTGGACGTAAATTTTCAATTGTAAAAATTCTACCAACTTCTTTTCAAGTTCGATTGTGCCCCCCCAATGTTAAAGTTATGCCGCCCCTGAACTAATTAATTTAGCCTAAATCTAAAATATGATTTTTCTATTTTTCTGTTTTTATCTAAGTCTCTTGTTATACCGTAGTACAGTTTCTGCCGTTCTAGACAAATCAAATTGAAAGCTCGGCTGCACCCCTCTTTATTATTGTGAGCTCGCTATTTTCCTCCTCATGTGATATTGACAATCAAATTTATGAACTCAACAAAAGAAACGCAAAAGATATTATTGGATTGGACTACGTTATTTTGTAAAATCTCAAATTGATCATGTCATTAGTTGAATTAATGTAGGTTGTTGCAAACTTTAAAAAATTTAATTATTGTACGAACTCAGGAACCGAGCTGAACCTGAACCTGAACGGTTCTGTAATTAAATTTGGACCAAACGGTTCCACTTACTAAATACCCGAAAATTCGAGTTCGGTTGAGGTGCCTGTAGTAATGATTTATAATTATTGTTTGATCATGAATAATTTTTAAATGCTCAAGTGTCTGTACACATGAGTAGATTCGATTCCTTGGTTTGTGTTCTAATTGAGATGTCACTTGTCAGCAATTTTTCAATACTGGCCTTGTTAAGTATAATATAGATCAATAGCTGAAAGTGCAATGAGACAAATATATAGGAAGAAAACTATTTTTACGAAGTATGTTTCAGCCAGGACCTAGGTGAACTTATTTGCTCTCAGGCTACACTGGTAGAATATGATGTTATAACTTACAATAAGAGATATGTACATTTGACATGTGATATTTTTGTTCTTTCATGGCCGATGGTTGGACTTTTCAAGGGGTAATTTTATAGTCTTTGGGATCGTAGTGTTGTTATATGATAATTGTTTATTAAAGGAAATATAGGGCCTGTTTGGTACGGCTCAAAATTCAATTAAAATTGAAAATATAGTCGTTATTGGGTCCCACTTATCTAATAAAAGTCAACAATAACAGCTAGTTTTTCAATTTTAATCCGATTTTAATCTCTACCAAACACCCTCATAGTAAATTAAAATTTTCTAGAAGATATAAATCCATAACTTTCTTCAAGTTCACCATTCTATATTCTATTCTTCAGCTGCAGTTTGGTAGAAGGCTGTAATTTCGAGTCATTTTATTATTCGTCTGGTTTTTTTCATCGTGAGATTTAGGGTGGTTTTGGAATTAGTCTAACTAGTATCTAAAGGGCTGATCTAAGGAGCACATTCGGCAAAGAGGAAGTTTAGCTTTTTTGAAAAGTAAGAAAACTCATGCTTATATTTTAGCTAATTTTTGTACTAAATTCAAAACAAAAAGCAACTTCTAAGAAAGAAACTCAAACATCTTTGGAGAAAAAGGAAAAACTTTTAAAGCTCCAAACTTGTTTGGCTAGGCTTACAAGTTTCTCATGAGTGAACTGACTTTTTTAGCCTTAGCCAAACATATTTTGTCATGATAAATTGAGTACTGTTTGATTTCTGCTTATCTTGTGATGGTTGCGATATTTCTTTTAGATAACAACAACGATTAATTTGATCATTGTTCGTTGATGTAACAATAGATCGTGCTTAAAAATGTTATTAGAGTTCTCAAATTGGTTAGCTGTGCTTGTCGGGCTAGGATGAGGGGAGATTAACCCTGTTGGCCAAATGGGAACCGTGATATCATGCATTTGGTTGAAGGTCGCCTACCTGTTGGCACTTTTACTTTTGATTGATATTGCTGAAGATTATTGGATGGATGTGTAGTCATTCTAGAATGAATAAAATTAGAAATTTAGATGTATTCCAGTAAGTGGAGGTGACATTGATTCAGAAGAAATTAAGGAATCGTGATTTAGATGGTTGAGACATACCTAGCCTAGATGTAAACAAACTCCCATTTGCAAGAGGAATAAGTTTCCACTGGAATATCTTAGAAGAGCAAGGTAGACCAAAATTAAAATGACTTTGTAGAGTTGCAAAAATATTCGATTTTGGTTGAACTTTTAGTAGATGTGGGTGCTAGATCGAAAGGGGCGGTGAAAAAGATCCATGCAACCAACCACAAGTTTATTGAGAATAAGAGACTTAATGCATTGGTGGTTTTGTACAACTGTACCCACCCACCTTTGTATTCCGGTCACTTGTGCTAAAAGAGATTGGAAACAAACATATAAGAGCCTACAAAGTTTATGTAAAACTCTAATTTTATGTTTCTAAAGTTGAAAAAATTACCGTTGGACGAAATACTATTGTAAAGGCTTTAAAGTTGACAGATTTACTAAAATGAAAAGGATCAAGAGAATCATTATCAAAAATGGTGTTTTGAAGCTGAGTTCGCTAAGTTTTGTGGATGGAAATATGGTAGGGGCATAGATGAAGCTGTATGAGGGGCACGGACAGGGGGGCACATAGATTTTGGGCAAGGGTGACCCTCTTTTCTTCTTCATGGTGTATATAGGCACTATTTGCATCTTTGCTGCAAGGAATAGGATGATAAGAGTACTTTGTGAAGAACTGGAGCGATACAAATGTATATATTTGTCTGTAATTACAGATGTTCTCAAGCAAAAGTACGAATTTGGTTGATATGAATTTGAGCCACTTGGATGTCATTTTGATGGATCCCAGTAGGGATATTAGTTATCCCGTCTAGTTTAGATTAAAAAAAAATAGATTTTTAGTAGATTTTGGTAAAAGGTGATTAAATGTATGATAGAAAAGTGATAGTTGTGGGTTTCATGAAATGTGCAAGTGAAAATGGGTTTAGGAAAAATGAGTTTTAAGAAATGATGGCCAAACAAAGACTTAGGGGCTGTTCTTTTTTATGTTTCAGTTTTGTGTTTTAAGTTTTGAATTCATTTTGGATTTTGTGTTTTGTGTTTTGAGTGTCCATTTTGAGATTGTTTAAAATGAATTTCCTACTTTGGCTTCATATTGCTTATTGTTCATAGTTGAAAAATAAATAAATAATCTGCAATCGTTGACTTAGCCAGAAACTTTCTTGCTTTTGATCTCAATCCTTGTTTCTGAAAAAAAAAAAAGAGTCTGCCGTTATCTTGCTGTTGTTATTCCAATCCAACCACAGTCCAAATATAACCCAGCCCACCATACACCTATAACGTTCCAACTTTTCCAGCCAAATCCATACCCCAGTCCATACATTCTACACGATAATCTCCAAATATAACCCAACCCACCATATACCCGTAGCATTCCAACTTCCCCCCACCCAAATCCATAACCTGACCCATAGATTCTCTGTGCACAATTTGGAGCATTTGAGATTGTCTTTTTTTTTTGTTAAATTTTGTCCTATTGTTTTAACCATAAATATTCAGGCATTGTAATTGAAACAGTGTTTGAATCTCTCTCAGTTTAGGTGAGCAAATGGTGCATACTGATATAGTGAAATTACATATAGTTTAAACATTAGTGAACTGGTATAAAGTGATTCTGTCTAATAATGTCGAGGGTGACTGACATAGAAGTGGGTTGAGAATGTGACATGCCCTACAGTGGGGTAACAAGATTTGATAGTTTATGGATGAGACTGCTGAGTTCCCCTTTTCATTCCCATCCATTGTGTCCAATGTGTCCCACTCGGAGAAAAAATCCTAGTTAGTTATCTAGATTAATACAACCTTTGAAGAAAGCCATCAGACCATTATCGGAGAGCATATTTAAACAAGCTAGATATTGTTGTGATTGTCATCTGGCAAAAAGCTTATGTACTCCCTCCGTCCCATTTACATAAGCTAAATTTACTTATTTTATTGTCCCAATTATATAGTCATGTTTCTTTATTGAAAATGTTTGATTTTGTTCGTTTACTAATATACCCTTATTTAATTTGCGTAGTTAAAAACAATTTTTCCCACCTAATCTTGAAATTGTACAAATATAAAGATATCTATTTTTTGAAAATTAAATCATTCAATTTCTTTACTACTTCCAACAATAATTTACTACTAGTTATTGATAATTAAATAATGGTGATTTCAATAACATTAAATAAGATTTCTTAATCCGTGTAAAAAATAAAACCAGCCTATATAAATGGGACGGAGGAAATAATGTATAATACGAAAAAAGTTGACATTTAATTCGCAAATAATGGTACATAAGTAAAGATCAATTAAATTGGTCGCTTGTGATAACTATAGCCTTGTTCGTGTAAAATTGAAAGTTACTAAAAAGTTACCCTTTCTATTAAGTTTAAATCAAACATTAATTTCAATCACACATTTACAAATAATACTCATTTATTAACCTCACATTTCATTGGACCTAATACTGTTTTATAACTTAATAATAATTTTACCCGAGTACTCACATAGGCTTCCAGTCGAACTTCTGCCATCGTAATATTTCTCAGATCACTCGACTATAAACTAGTCTACTGAAGTTATTGTAAGATTCATTATTTAGATGCTTTTCATTGTGCTATAGTGTTTTCACGAATGTGCAATTCTTGGGTTTTGAATCGATGTCAAGGATTTTGAGGGAAAATGATTAGGAGGGTGTTTGGTGGGGATTAAAATTAGATTTTTAATAGATTGTGATAGAAGTTTTTGAAATGTGTAGTTGAAAAACTGCGAAACCCATGAAAGATAAAGTTAATATTGATTGTTTGATTTTGACTTAAATTAAAATTTGATTTTAATCCGAAACAAACAGGGCCTAAAATAAATTATGACAGGATAAAACTGTTTGTACTGTAATTGGTGCACCTTCATGTCTCAAATCCTTTCTGTTGAGGCAGCCCTGTAGAGCATATGAATGATATTTTCTTGTCTATTGTGACATTGCCTTTCACGTTGTGTGAAGTCTCTCGCTGTTCTTTGTAAGTTGCTCTTCAATTTTTATCATGTCCTTTTGACGTTAGGCCATTTAGTTAATTGATGCTAGCCCTTATTAGTGATGCTTGAAATGTTTTGGCTGGTGACGTTTTTTCTTTCCTCAGTTTGTTTCTATGAATTTATTATTAACAAATAACAAATAGGTACTCATGTTTAAAAGATTTCAATAATAATAATTAATAACAAGTATAAAACTAAATTTATACTATATAAATGAAGAATTTAATCAACGTGTTTTGTATGTACTTCTTTTAAAAATTCCATGTCGGGGCATCATAGACTAATTGCTTTCCTGCTTTCGGTAAAAAGCTACTGCAAAAGTCCAACGATTGCATCCTTTTTCTTTCCTTGTAAAAATGCATTTCAATTCCCCCTTCTATTCTCCTCAATTTTATTATACCAACTTCTATTTCCTTTATCCAGGAAGTTAAATTTTATGGAGCTTTTGGCCGACGTCCTAAATTTGTTTTGTACATACTCTAGAATTAGTAGTTGGAAAAGTTAAAGGTCCAAAAAATGTTGAGAAACATCTGGAGGATGAAAAAGCCAGTTGATGTGAAATCATCATCTCATGGTCTAGAATGAATAAACTTTTTGAATTTTATATTTGTTTTGCCATAATAATAAGGGATCAGTATGTGAAATTTTAGAAGTATTTTTCTATGTTTTTATTTCTACATTGTTTTTTTAAGATCGGTCTGCTGCGTGCCTACATAAAAGTACGTGGTCAAAACATTTGGTCTAGTGAAAAGGGTTCTAGTTGTTTCGTTTCTACATTGTTTCTTTCTTCTTTTTTCTAAAATAAACACGAAGTTTAAATTTAGTTGCTGATGCATAATCATCATTTACCTCAATTGTTTTCCCTGTTATAGAACTATTCTTTTATGGAAATTCTAACTCGAAAAATATTTTTCATCTAGCATTTCACTCAGCCAAGCTCCTTGTGGCAGATGCTGAAAAAGAATTCTTGAGCAGTTTGATTCTCACCATGAACAGCCATTATAGTCAGCGCTGGGGTTGTCGTTGAATGCTTCGTGGACCTTCTATCCGTGGAAGATGGATTATAACCAGTTAGCGTTTTAGTACTACAAGAGGTTCGAGGCCTGATTTACATCTGATGTTTTTCCTTTTCTCTTATTTCGCTTTTAAATTTGTAAATCTGCATTATATAGGAAGACTGTGACTATGGAATGTAGAATTTGCTTGTATGGTTTTTTGTACTACTATTTATCCCGTGAAACTAGCCTAAAGGAAGATGATTTGGTGGGTATTAGTCTCCTAATTTGTACTGAAACGACGTAGTATTTTTGTCCGCTATTTTCTTGGACTGTCAATGAATGTCTTCACATTGAAGCGGATATTTATGAATTTTACGTGTTCTTGTATCTATTTTTTATGTGATTTTATTGTTAAAATTGAGGTTTCTAAATCTCAACATCTAGATTTGATTGAACATACACAACATCGAAATTTCTCGAATCCATTTCTCGAGTCCATCATCATCCTTAGCTCAAAATTTTTACTCACACAATAATCACATGTTTCCTCATCCTGGCATGTCCACACGATCTAGTTTCAAGCCAGTTTCGGCGTCAACAAGGCCAGTTCAACTCGCACATGAAAAATGGATTATCCGTCTCATTAGCTCCAAGATTTTGCTCTATGCCTTCCACTGATGTTCGCCATTCCAATAATCATGCGATTCGTTCTCATTCTAGAATTCATCCAGTAGCACGCCGTTATCTGTGTTAGCATCAATCAAATCAGGTCTATTCACATATAAATCATATAGGTACATCACCTCTCCTTGCTTCTCATCCTAGGCGTCGTCCAGTTGCACGTCCTACTGGTTCAAAAGGTCGTAACCCAACCCTTAAGACACATCTACTTGGACATCTGACCAATTATAGAGGTTAGGTTTTCGTGAGTTTTTCTTGAATTCTTCACTTTTATTATATCGATATGGGTCGAGCTTAGATTAACAACCCTATTTCTCTAGGCATGGTTTTTGCAATCAAGATTCTAGAGATGCATCGAATCATCAATAATACTCTTCTTTGCATAGTCAGACATCAAGGGCCAAATTTCTCGACTCTATACTCTAATTTTTGAAAAATGACACAAAATTTAGGCCCCATTTCACTAAATGATGGTCGGCAATGGAATACAAACACTAAATGCAAACTAGCAGTATTTTTCATAAGTAGTTAGCTAAAGCTGCCCTGAAAATGACAATTGATATAGGAGACGAGAGGGACAATTTTTACATTCTCAATCTACCATACAAATATACTACAGCTATAACACTTTTAACAACTCCTAGTCGATATACTATCCGAATTCTGAATTTCACTACTTGTACAGCCCCGGGTTAAAAAACACATAAATAGCCCTTAAGCCATACTTTCTTGATCACAAGACGGGAATATCTTACCGTCCTTTTCTACAACACTAGGCATGTTATTGGCCAACGCCAGCAGCATCTTGACGACTGTGCGCATTGAAGGGCGGTTGATTGGCAAGAAACTAGTACATAGTAGGCCGATATCAAGAACCCTGCAAATTTGTTCTTTGAATTCTGCTGAATCAAGACTTGGATCCATCACGTGATTGATACCTTTCTTATCTAGTGTCGTGCACACCCATGTAGCCAAATCTTTTCCGCCGAAATCAGGATCTGTCGGAGTTCGGCCTGTCACAAGTTCCAGAATGACTATGCCGAAACTGTATATATCACTCTTTTCATTCACTCGAAGCGTATAAGCATATTCTGGAACACAGTAAATTCAAACAATTGTTAGCATCAAACATTAAACCTAATTTAAAATTATATTTGAAATGTCATGATTGAAAGAAGTACCTGGTGCAATGTAACCGCGAGAACCAGCAATTACAGACATTGATTCGACACCCCGGTCCACTATCTTCAAAATCTTTGCAACACCAAAATCAGAAATTTTTGCTCCAAAATCTTCATCCAACAGTATGTTGTTGGATTTAACATCCCGATGTACAATTGAAGGAACACAATCGTGATGCAAATAGGAGAGCCCTTCAGCGGCATCCAAAACAATCTTGAACCTAGTCCTCCAATTCAACAATTTACTCTTGTTAATATGCAGCAAATCACCTAAGCTCCCATTAGGCATGTATTCATACACCAGTAGCTTGCAACTTCCTGTATTGCAAGAGCACCATAATTTCACAATATTCTTGTGCCGAACTTTTCCCAGTGTCTCGACTTCGATCTTAAACTCGTCTTCAATCTTGTCCGATCTTTCCCACAGCTTTTTTACTGCAACTATTTCCCCATTGCTAAGAACAACTTTATACACTTTTCCCGATGCCCCTTGTCCTATCACATTAGCTTCTTTAAGGCATTCGCTTATTTCGAATTCGCTAAATCCCAGCTTATGAAACGAAGTCCACTTTGTCATAGCAACTCCTTTGTTCATTTTCTTGGCATTCTTGTACTTCCATACAAAACAAACAACCCCAACGAGAAAAACAATTCCAGCAATCACAAAGATAGACCTTAATATCCACAAAAAGGCTCGACTTCGGTTTTCTCCTTTTGGATTACATAAACCAGCAATATCAGCACACAAACCTGGATTTCCCAGAAAGCTATCCCGATAAACTCCCTTAGCAAATAGAGGCGGCACTTCACCAGAGAGTTGATTATTTGACAAATTCAGCATATTGAGCTTCAAATTTTGTAGTGATCGTGGGATACTGCCGGAAAAGGAATTCCAAGAAAGATCAAGGTAATTAAGCACCAGCATGCTCCCAATTTCATCTGGGATTTCCCCGTATAACCTATTGTTAGCCAGATTGAGCTCGTTAAGCTGTTTCAAGTATTTAATTCCCCTTGGAATCTCCCCAGAGAGATGATTGTTACTAAGATCAAGCTTTCCAAGCTGTCCTAAGTGTACCAATGAACTCGGGATTTCACCACCAAGATGATTGTCATGAGCAGAAAACTCGACCAAGTTCTCCAACGATCCAGTTTCTTTAGGTATACTCCCCGATAACATGTTTCTCGAAACTGAAAGGGTTGACAGATTTCTTGCACCGATAATCTTTTGTGATATATTTCCCGAAAATGCATTACTTTCAAGGTCTAGCAAGTAAACACGAGGCAACCCCCAGAAATCGGCCGGAACTTCTCCAGAAAGCCTATTACCCCGCATCCGTATCCGCATTAAACTCCGACATGTCCCGAGACTCTCTGGAATATTTCCAGAAAATGAATTGTAAATCAGTACGAGCTCCTCCAATGCCCCTCTTTGGCATAAATGTTCCGGTATCACACCTGACAGATTATTATGTGACACGTCCAGAGTTTGAAGAGCCGAGTTGTTACCAAGTTCTTTCGGAAGCGACCCACTGAGTTGATTTCCAAACAATCTTAGGTCGTATAAGTTTGGGGATTTGGCGATGCTTTCCGGGATTAGACCATTGAGCTGGTTCTCATATAAATTCAGTGACTCGAGCGGCAACTCACACAACTCATCTGGAATCGTCCCAGTTAAATTGTTCATTGCTGCATCAAAACGTCTCAACTTAGTCAAATTCGACCATCCAGCCGGCAATTTCCCTGTAAAAAAGTTTGTGTACAGCTCGATTTGCACTACACTCTTGAGTTTACAAATCAGACTCGGTATTGGACCGGTAAGTCTATTGTCCGACAAGTCCAAGTTCCTGATTCGACTCAGCCCAATAAAACTCTCCGGAATTGGCCCCTCAAGGTTACAATGAGAAAGCCATAGGACTTCTAGGTTCGTCAAGTTACCGAGTTCAGGAGGGAGTCGACCCGGTGAAAACGGGTTGTAAGCAAGTTCAAGTGATTTGAGGCTTGTTATCCGACCCAGTGCACCAGGAACTTTTCCATTGAGCAAATTCTCAATAATTGTAATGTTTTCCAGTTGCCGGAAGTTTCCAAAACTCGCCGGAATTTCACCGGAAAAATTGTTTGCGTTAAAATTAATGTATCTGCAAATAAAGATATCATTTTTAATGGACCTTAAATCAAAATTAAGAATTACTGAAAAAGAATATTTACAAAACATTAATAACATTCCAAAACAACATGAAAATTAAACAGTTCTTAATGATCTCATAAACCCATATTCAAAACTCTTCGTACATATACCGTTAAAACTTCAATACCATAAATGATGAGAGAATAGTAAATAAATTTGCAATAAATGGCATTAAAATACTGAAGTTCAAATTACCCAACTTTGATTAAAATTCTTACCGAAGGGAGTGGATGTCGGCGAGACTGTATGGGATAGTGCCAACTAAAAGATTATCCGACAGGTCAAGATATGTAAGGTTCCGGCAAGACGAAATGGTGACAGGAAGTGAAGAGTTTATAGAATTGTTAGATAGACAAATCCTAGAGAGAGAAGGCAACCGGCAGAGGAACATCGGAAAGGGGCCAGATAGAGAAGCTCCGGTGAGGTCGACTGAAACAACCGAGTTGTGGTTGTCGCACACAATCCCAGTCCAGTTGCATGGGGTGGCATCACGGTCGGACCAGTTGTTGAGAGAACCGGCGGGGTCGGAGAGTGAATCTTTAACTCTCAACAGATACAAGCCTTCTTTATTTATTGCAAAATTCGGATAAAAACAGAGAGAAACTGTAAATAAAAGCAGCAGAGTGAAGGTAGAGGCCATAATGAGAATGAGAAGAAGGAGGAGGATTAAGTGTGAATTAGTGAGTGATTAGTGGATTTATATATGGAGTTAAGGATTGTGTTTGGAGGGATATTGTAGGGATGTGGAATTATTAGTTGAGTATGGTGTGAGGGGGAATGAGAAAAAATGTGTAGCGCTTTTGTATTTTAGTATGGGATTAAAGAGGGTGGGATGAGAAATGTGAGTCTTGGGAAATGCAAATAATTTGAAAATGAAGTTTTTTTTTGTGTGAATCTCTTAATATGTGGGTCCTACTTTTTGTTTCGGACCCACTCGAACATGTGTAGCGTACATGTTTATGAGTGCTTATAAGAAGCTTTTAAACGAGTTGACATGATATCTCGGTACATTATCTCTTCATGACAAATATAAAAAAGTCATGACATAACGTGTTGAGTTGAGATGGTAAAGTATGTTTTAACGCATTCTCATTTACTAAAAAGATATGATGTATGAATTTATCAAAAAATGTATTGAAAAATAGTACATTTGGGCTCGTCCCAAACGTATTAAGGTACTTACGAGCATCTTGTTGGGTTAATTCTATTCGTAGTATCTATATTTTAGCTTGTGTTAATCTTGTCTTAATTTAAGTCACTCCCTCCAATTTTGTCAAAATAACTAACTTAAAAAATGTTGATGTGGCCATATTGACATGTTATAGTGATTCAATTGATATTTATATAATAGTATAGTGACCTTGGATAAAAAGTAACCAAACATGCTACTAGTTTAAACTTTAAAATGAAACATGAAAGGATTTATGGGATCGAATTGTGCATTTTCTAACATCTTCTAACTTATCTTTTGAAGTATCATTTAGTTTATCATGGTTTAAGACATCAATTAGATGTTCTCTAACATGGCATGGAACGATAGCCAAGATAACTTTTTTTAAAGATTATCCAAACCGTTACAATTAATCAAAGTATATGTATACAAGTTCCTTTTTTTTCCCTTAAATTATTGAGATGGTGGTTACTTTGGTGTTCATGGACATAGTAATGATTGGGTTGCCAATGGTGTTGATGAAAATTAATTTAGTGGGTAACAATTCTATCCTCGTCTTAGGTTGGTGTAAAGTCGTGTAGAGTCATTTGACGAGGCCTAGATTTAATCGAGTAGTTAACAAATATATCATAATAGTGGATGGGTTGTACCGTGTACATTTGAGGTCGGTTGTTTGATGGGACCTAAGATGGATTGACAATTGGTATCATCTTAAAAATTCATCACGATGAGCTGTCATGATAATCCCGATCAGCATGCCTAATATACAGTGACCCTATATCAAAACAATAGAAGTTATATCGTAATCATGCTGGATAAGGGAGTTGTAGGAATTCAGCGGGTGTCTGTCTACTAGCAACAAATTGTAAATCTAAGTAACAAGGAATAGGAGTTTAAAGTATTCTAGAAAAATGGCAATCAAAAAGGACCAAACAAATAATTGAGCAAAATGACTTCTCTAAACCGTCAATCACTCAAAGTTACTTTGAACACGTGACGTGCAAATTCAACGATTAGCGAATTGCTGACAAAGACATTAGACTCTACATCTTGAATGAAATTAAATAAAATAGATGAAAAAAAATTTAAGTATTACAATTTTATTTTATTTTTCATTGAACTACTAAGGCACAAACTTTTAAAAGTCTTTGGCTTTTAAAAGATGGACAGAAATTGGCTCGGACGGTAGGGATTGATCAATGAGTACGTATATGATAATAAGAGGGTCGTGTCGAATTGGACAATTTAGAATAATGTTATTTAATCACACTGGAATTATAACCTTAATTTATGTGACGTTGATGTAACATTAAATGATAAGTACAATTGGACAAGTCATTTAATTTCACTTTTCATTTAGCATATCACCTAAACTGAGGTTAGAAGTTCAGTGGAGTTAAATCGTTAATTGGACGAAATAATAAGGTTTAAATTATTCCCTTGGGACTATGGAGTTGTATTCTTATTCCTCGTGTTCCACAACCATGAGAATTAAAGAATTTACTTGGAAATATACATTTATACACTGCCACAACAATTTCCAAGTATGATAAATTACTTTAAAGTCCCATGAAAAGTAATCACTTAATTCAAAATAAAGAACAATATTATTTAACACCAGTTTAGATGACAATAAATGTCATTAAGTGAAAAATAATTATTTAATTGAACAAATCACATCATGTCACATAAATCGGTGCTCGACACCATTTCAATATACTTTACAAATGAAATCCCATCTCAACATCGTGATGCTTTATGAGTGAGGCTTGGTACTTTTAAAGTGACTTTGTTACCTGAATGAAAAATTCAATGGAGGCACACAAGCGTTCACACTTGTCTTTCTTTGGAATAAAAGCACCGATTTCGACTAAGAAATGAAATTTATAAAAGAAAAGAAGCCTAAATCCACCTACTAAAACTGTGTATAAACATTGTTTTAACATTGACCGTTCACTATGATGGGACAGAAGACGTGAAACTGTCCAATTATCACCTTCCATGTAGACTATGTTTGGTACAGTCAACTGTTGGCAAAGACTGTGAATACGTACTGTATTTGTTTTGTTTAAAGTGAAATTTACCCATAGAATAACTTCGATAATATGATAAGTTTTGGTGAAGAATCTCGCTACTTGTACATTAAGATTTATATAAAAAATTATATAATATCACAAGGTTCTCTATCATTTGTCAATTTAAAATATAATCAACTTTTTCATCCAATCTTTTCTCTCTACATCATTCTCGGTAATCGGTTATATACATTTTTTATATACACGTAGCAAAATCCTTTAGTGATTTTGCACGAATAGAGAGTGAAACACAAAGATTCAAAAGTTGTTTCCATGCTAAGTGAGTACAAATATTATCTTTGCAACTTGCTGCATTCCTTTGTTCGAGCTGAGTCATATTTTCGCTCGAGTGAGCACTCTAGTGGCCACAAAAATTTTATTTTCGAAGCTACTACAACTATATTGTGAGTTACTTTATGACGTGCAATATTTCATATGATATGATCTACATCATTGATTGAACGTCATGCTAAGTGTACATCTAGCGTTATTCTTTTCTTTTATGTCCACTTCTACTTATTTTATTGTGGGATATAATGCCACTTTGAAATGCTCTTCATACTTCGAATTTAATTTGAATATTCTCCAACATAAAATATATCGAATATTGTCAAGAGAGTGTTGATACATAATAACGAACAATATTATATCAAATAACAAACAATGTTTTAATTTCTTTATCTTATTTAATCTCGTTCGAAATTATTATGTGTTAGTGTGTGTAGTGTGCGAGGGGGGTAAACGTATACCGTATTGCATTTTAGTTTGGTGTCAAAGAGAGCCGGGCTGAGAAATATGAATCTTGAGAATTGCAATTGCTTTGAAAAGGAAGTTTTGATAATAAGAGTAATGCTATTCATCCCCACTGAAATTATAAACACAGTCTAGGTGGTTTTAATGTGGTATCAAATGATAAGTGAAATTAAATAAGTCATTTAATTTCACATTTCATTTAACCTATCATTTAGAGCCACCTAAACTGTATTTGTAACCCCATTGAGGATAAATAATATTACTCTGATAATAAACTATTGAATAATGATATTCATCCTCACTTGGGTTGAGCCCAAATTTATGTGACAATTATATGGCGTTAAATGACAGCTCAATTAATGAGTCATGTGACTTTATATTTAAATGAATCTATTATTTAATATCATGTAATGTCATATAAATTGGAGCTCAATCCCAGAGATGAATATCATTACTCTAAACCATTATATAAGAATTTAATTACAATTTTATCATCTTGTTAGTGAAGAAAAATGGAAAAACGATGAAAAAAAGAAAGAGAAAAACGGTTTGGAGAATATGGAAGAGCATAAAAATCGTGTTGAATGGAGAGAAATTTATTAATCTTCTTTTTCGTAAAAAAATTTGGTAACTAACCATTATTGTGGGATACGAATAAGAAAAAGAATAAAGATTACAAAATGACTTTTTCGTAAAAAATTTGGTAACTAACCATTATTGTGGGGGTACGAATAAGAAAAAGAATAAAGGTAACAAAATGATTAGGGGAATATTGAAGAGAATAAAAAATTACATTATGATATTAAATCTTATTTTGCATTTAAAAATAAATAAAAAAGTTGGAAGACAATAAGGAAAAAGAAACATTGGCGAAAAATATAAAACTAAGACGTTTGTGTTTTCCAAAGTATTCTAACAATTGGGAGAAGGAGAGACAAATTGTAATTACTTTTTATTTATGCATGGTGCTTAAAAGTTAGTGAGCGACTGCAAGTAGCATTATTCCTTTTAAAAAGGTCTAAATTGAGTATCCACGACTTAAATTTTTTTTTTTTAATTCTATAAAAAAAAAGTTATATTTTATACTTAAATTCTTTATAGAGTTTAAAAAGCTTCTATTGAGGCCATCTCCAATGCTGCACCAAAATTTGCACCATTTTGCATCAAACTAAAATTCATCTCCAACCATTATACCAAAAGTTACACCAAATGAACGGTGTTTAATAATTTTCTTCTCTTTTTTATTCTTAGTAATTTATTTATTTCGAAATATTATTTATTTATTTATTTTAGAAACACATAAATTACTAAATAAATAATTACGTTAAATTAAGGAAAATATTAAATTCATTAATAAAGATATTATTAAAACATAGTGCAATTAGTAGAATCACTTCAAAAATGAAAAATATTAAATCATGCCGTTAAAATATAGTGCACTCCATTTCAAATTTGAATATTATGATATTGTGAAGTTGAAATATCATTGCAATTTAAATAATCGTATTTGTTATATTTTAATTTTTTTATTCTTATTTTAATTAATTCAGTAATTATTATTTTCAACATTTAAAATTTATTTATGCAAATAATAATAATAATAATAATAATAACAATTGCATTAAAAAATTATATAACATA